ACTGGATCAAAATGTTATCTGTAAATTATTATCAGTTACCAGAAACCAGGAATTTAGACATACAAGTGTCAACTACCTATAGGAATTAACTAGGAATAAAATTAGGGCATGTTTCTCAAGCTGCTAGCTTCAGGACTTGAACTGTGCAGTTGGCTGCGTGGGATCCAGTTGCCTTAACCATCACACCACCAGCTGGTCCACCATTAGCGTAATTTTTTTTTTCTTTGAGAGGTTTTTGCTACAGGGCACACACGCTCGCCAGAAAGACAGAGAGAGACAGAGAGACAGAAAGCAAGAAATCACCCCCCAGGGGGAATAGCCATGCCACAATCCCTTCTCCATTCTCCTCTTAGGATCTTGGGCACACATGCACACGTGCCTGGCATGAGTTAAAGCCACCGGGTCTGGGACTCGAACCGTGGTCAGCTACATGGGAGTTCAGCGACATAGCCTTACGCTAACTGCTGATCCCCACCATTAATGTAATTTTTGAGGTACTGATCAAAAGTGATTATTCTCCACATAAATATCTAATTACTTTTATGTTTTAAAAAGTTTATTTTCCCATTGTTATGTTTCTTTTAAAAACGTTTATTTCTTCCATGACACAAAGAGATAGAGATGAAGAGAGATAGGGAGAGAGAGAGACAGAGAGAGAAGCACACCCTCAACAGAGTCTTCATGCTGTGATCCAACCCCAGCTTCAACCAGTGAGGATCATGGACATGTGTGCAGCCTAGCATGTATTAGAGACCTCAGGTTGTGAACCCAGGACACTCCCATGAGCTTTAGTACTGCAGTAGTGATGTCTCACCACAGCTAGCCTTGTATTAATTTTATGTTTCTGATATAATTACTTCAAAAAGGCAACTCAGGATCTCCAATCAGTAAACACAATCCTTTATCAAGATTGACTAATGAATGTACACTTTGGTGTTTTAAGTTAACATAGTTTATTCCTTTTTCCTTTTTTTTAAAAGAATTATTTTATTTAATTTTAAATTAATTAATTAATTTTAATTTGACCAGGGAGGGATAGAACAAGAGAGCGAGAGCAAGAGAGAAAGTGAGAAAGCAAGCCACCAGGTCTAGGACTTGAATCATTGTCAACCATGAGAGAGTTCAGTGCCCTTCACTACCACAGCATCTGCTGACCCACTTCATATTTTTTTAAGGTTTTTGCCATAGGGCATGTGCATTCATCAGGGAGAAAGAGGGAAGGTGAGAAATCACTCCTTGGTGGGAGGAAAAGGGGCTACAACCCCTTCTTCTCCATTCTCCTCCCGAGATTTTGGACAGATAGGCACATGCACCTGGCACTGAGTTCCAGGACTCAAATCGTGGTCAACCATGTGGGAGTCCAACACTTCAACCAGTATAACACCTGCTGGTCTCCATGTTCCTCATTGTAAACAATTGTTTTAATCTCTGGTATCTACTACTGGATAAGATTTTTATTTATTTATTTATTTATTTATTTATTTATTTATTTATTTATTTATTTATTTATGTTACCTTTGTTTCTTTATAAAGGTTGCAAAAAATGTTACCGGGGTGTGTGAAATAAGTTTAACATTCTCGACTATCCTTGTGATCCACTTGTGTAACCTCATTAAATACAATATGAGGGGCAGTAGCCTGTTCAGGTTTCGTTCAATTATGGCCCGACTGGAGAGAAGCCAGGGTCTGGATGGGGACGTGTCTAGGTGCAATGACTTTGTTTCTTTATAAAGGTTGCAAAAAATGTTACCGGGGTGTGTGAAATAAGTTTAACATTCTCGACTATCCTTGTGATCCACTTGTGTAACCTCATTAAATACAATATGAGGGGCAGTAGCCTGTTCAGGTTTCGTTCAATTATGGCCCGACTGGAGAGAAGCCAGGGTCTGGATGGGGACGTGTCTAGGTGCAATGAAACAGGGATTAATAGCATTTTTCAATTTTCTAAGTCATTTGGGTAATTAGTTTTATACCATATTGCTTATATTATTAGACCCCCCCCCCAAAAAAAAAGCACACACGTGATAGCTAAGTGGCTTTTGGCTGAGAATCCCACCTCCAGTTTCTCCAACTCCACTCAACACCCTTTGCACCATGGAAATCTGTGAACTTGGCTGGATGAACAGATTTTTTTTTAAAAAGGTAATACTATATTCATCATTTTTTTGATTGTGTTTTTTTAAAGTATACATTTCTTTTTTTTATTATTTATTATTATTCATACATTAAATCACTATACAGTTTTTTAGGGTAGTCTGCTTCCCCAGGAAAAGAGTTGCCAGTTTTATGTTTTCTTCATTTGTTCCAGATCTTTCAAATACTGCCCTCCTAATAAGCCACCATGTTTATGGGGCTACCATATCATGCTAAGCCAGCACTATTCAAAACTGTTGTAACTGAGTCCCTTTTTCAGGTGTTCTATATGCAACTTATTCTACAACTCTGATTCATGTCATTATGTTTTACAATCTGATAGAATGTGTGTTTCATGAATCCCATTTCCCACTTTTGTTTTAGGTGAATTTCATTAGCACTCTAGTAATACTGTTTTCATGTTAATTGGAAGAAAAATAAATCTCTATGCTAATTATTCACATATTTCTCTCTTACTGCATTAAGTGTATCGTTACGTCCTCAATAATGTTTTATAAGTTTCTATGATAAGTCTCAAGTATGCTAAATAAAATTGGTGTTAAAATAGTTTGTCACTGATGTCACTAGAGTTGCTATTAATTGTGAGACACAATTTTATATGTTAAAGTTGAGCAGTTGGAATCACTTAGTTAATTTTCTGGAGTATTCTGGATATAAAATTGATACTGGATTGTGTTATTGACTGATGTGTTCTTTATACCAATATCCTCTCATCCCGAATTCACCCCTAACCTTCTTGCTCCCCTCCCACTGCTCCACCCTCCCTACTGCCTCTTTCTCTGCTGCCCTCCTCAACTCTCCTGTCATCCCTCCCCTTCCCCCTTCCTATGCCCAATGACTATACTGCCCCACCCCCTTCCTCCTGTGACACTGGTGGACGCTGAAATGACCAGGATACAGTTAGCACTTAACCACTAAATCTTTATTGAATTTTTATTATAACATCAATACAACATTAGTTAATAGAGAGAAATAGAGTAAAGAGAATACAGCAATACAATCTGAAGAAGGGGTGGGAGTAGCAGCAGGAGTAGGGAGATGGGACAGGGGTGAGGAGGAAGGCTGACAGGGGCAAAAGCAAGTGCTTTATTCATCACTTTCCTATTACTTCCATGAAAATTTACTATCCACCATGATCAATCTCATTCCAGCAATGATTTTTTCAAAGGGTACCAATCCATCTTGTAACTCTCTAAAGGTTTTGTTCTAATCTGATTGCTGGAATTAAGGGCCTCATTCAAATTATTAATCCAATCACCTTTGAACTTTCTCTCACTTGGATTTTATCCATGTCCAATTCACTCTGAATAGATTAATCCCCCTGTAGTTTCCTCCAAGTTTATTTGAAATCTTTAATAAGAGTAGCAACAACAGGGGAAAGGGTCACAAGTAAGTACACAAGTCCACTTATAGAGATAGCTAATACATAATATTATCCTAACTTTCTAAGTAACCCCACCCACTGAAGAGTACTTAACAGTCCCTCCCACCCTAAAATACTTACTATATATAACCCGTTATTTAAAGTGATTACACAAAGAAATAAAAACAATGTAATTTTCCACAGACCAATTCAACAGTGCTCTACAATCTGAAACAACAAAGAACTTTCAGTCCCATGAATGGCGGTGTGCTCTCTTAGAGGAAAATGCAGTATGCTTCCTGCTAGGCTCTTCATTTCTCAGGTGGTCCTTCATTTGAGCCCAGGTGTTCTGTCCAAGTGTTCTCTGTTGTCAGTCTTGAACTGTATCCGATGTACAATGTCTGTGGTGGGTGACAATGGTCAATTTAGGAGTCCAAGAGGTACCTGTAAACTTAAACCAAATTCCAGACTGTACCACATAGATCTCCTCCTCTCATTGTGTGTACCTGCAGGTTCACTGTACTACTTCACGTGATTACATCAAACAAATTTCCTTTTTCCACTATCTAAGAAAAATACCTCATTGCTCGAACTAAAATGACCCTTAAGAAATGTATGTAAACTTTCTGCTTCAATATCTTAGCATGATGACTTTAAGGAGTCCTCTCTAGTCTTACCTAAAAATGAGAGCTCTTAGATCTTCTTCCTTGATTTAATTAATTAATAATGCAAATTTGGGCCAAAAGTCAATTAATTCTGCCAGTCTGTTTCAAAGACTCATCTATTTGATTTAATTTGTTGTTTTGATTTATCCACCTCCTTTATCATTTCATTTCTTAAAAAATCTTTGCTCCTTTTCTAACTTCTTTAATTCCTTTGCTTCTTCCTTTCTTATGAATAAAGGCATTTTTTTTGCCAAAAAAAGTGGAAAGAACTCAATTAACATAAATTTGATCAACAGTAATGGACAAAACTGAGAGAAAGGAAACTTAGCTAAATTTAATACTATAGAACAATAAATTTAAGATTACTTATCCTTAACATCTAACATTTATAGATAATATATATAGCAATAGAGCATAGTACACACTGCCGAAAAGTTAATCGCAAGCTTTCGTAAACAGCCAAGTGTGTTGTGTACCTGCAGGTTCACTGTACTACTTCACGTGATTACATCAAACAAATTTCCTTTTTCCACTATCTAAGAAAAATACCTCATTGCTCGAACTAAAATGACCCTTAAGAAATGTATGTAAACTTTCTGCTTCAATATCTTAGCATGATGACTTTAAGGAGTCCTCTCTAGTCTTACCTAAAAATGAGAGCTCTTAGATCTTCTTCCTTGATTTAATTAATTAATAATGCAAATTTGGGCCAAAAGTCAATTAATTCTGCCAGTCTGTTTCAAAGACTCATCTATTTGATTTAATTTGTTGTTTTGATTTATCCACCTCCTTTATCATTTCATTTCTTAAAAAATCTTTGCTCCTTTTCTAACTTCTTTAATTCCTTTGCTTCTTCCTTTCTTATGAATAAAGGCATTTTTTTTGCCAAAAAAAGTGGAAAGAACTCAATTAACATAAATTTGATCAACAGTAATGGACAAAACTGAGAGAAAGGAAACTTAGCTAAATTTAATACTATAGAACAATAAATTTAAGATTACTTATCCTTAACATCTAACATTTATAGATAATATATATAGCAATAGAGCATAGTACACACTGCCGAAAAGTTAATCGCAAGCTTTCGTAAACAGCCAAGTGTGTGTCAGGGACTCTGAATTGTTATCCCACACCAGTATGCTCCCCCTGATGATTCCTGTCAATTGGCAAACTTCTCCAGACTTTTGCTTGCGGTAGTGGCCAATGTCCGTGTGTACATGCCAGTGCTGCAGAAAATGGCCCATTTCTAGGCATGCTGCAGCTTGAAGATCAATTGACAACTGTAAATTTGACACAGAACAACTTGAATTCAAACATATGAAGGATGGATTGATATCTGAGGTAACTGAAGTGACGCTTCAACATAGTCCAGAAGCACAAATGCACCATTTTAAAAGTCATTACTCTAAAACACCAGTGATTGACAAGCTTTCTGATTCCATTGAAGAAAAGAAAGTTGTTTTGCATTCAATAGCCAATTACATTTCTTCTTTGAAACTGTAAATCCTTTTGTTTGATTTGTAAAGGTCCAATTGGTAGAATTGAAGTTATATTGTTCAAATTGAAGACTGAAGATGAACAGGATGAACTATTACATAAGTACTCCATTTCTGAGGAGCCTCTCATTCACAGTGTTGTAAGAAGTTCACAGTAAAGAAATATTTTATACTATGTTATTTATCATTTTTACTTAGTTTAACATGAGAATCGAACAGTATTTTATAATTCAATGGAAAGTTCGGAAAGCATAGTCACCACTTTAAAACTGTTAAAGGACACTACCACGGCTACAAGACTTAAGTATTTAAACATGCAAGAATAAAGGGTGGATGATAATGAATGTGTGAGATGATGCTGATGAAAAATGAAACTTCACCGTGAGACTCCTCTTCATGACAGGCAACCAGGCAGGAAGGTGACCCCTTCCCACAGCAGAGTTAATGGCAGTAGTAAAGAATTAAACAGAAAGAGAGAGGTTAGACAAAACAGTTCAAGGTAGTAGCAAGGGACCAGGCTAAAGAAGTCAGGCAGTCCCAGGTTAGCACAAAAAGTCCAGGAGACACTAGAAGTGTCACTGGATCGAAGACAACTCTTGTGTTGTCTGCTGCTTTAAGTCCTTTGAGTTATTTTCTGAGGCCTTTTATCCATTGGCAACTTCATGTCAGACCCTTTCCATTGTGTGAACTCTCATCCTTTCAAAGTGGTTCCCGTCAGGTCATCCCAAAGACCAAGAAGCTAAGGAAGTCTGTATCCCCAAGGAAGTGTCCATAGCCCTAAATCCTCTTTTTCAGAGACATCCCTCCCAGGCATAGGAGTGTGGTTCTGGGTGCTAAATCATTTCCCCTCTCCAAGCATCCTAATGTGACAGTCTAATGAGGGGACTGAGACTGATGATGGAATGCCCAGATGCATATGGAGACAGACGAGCAGACAGATGCTTCCAAAACCTCAACTGATGTTTTTCCAGCTAATTAATTAACAATTCTTGTGAAAAATTCCTTCTGAAGTACCAGGCAAGTTGGCAACAATCACCTCAGAGTCTTTTTTTAAGAGTTGGGTATGGGATTTAGGAGTCCTTGACATTGCTGCTCTTTAGCCCTCACACGTGATTGAGAGGTGGTCACAACATCTAACATACCTGGAGCTACCAGAAGACTCTGGTTATCAGGCTTAATGCTTGGTGAAAGCCATTAGTGGCATGATGATGGTAAGGTGTTGTGTCAAAGCCAGAGTTCTTGGGTACCTGTGATTTGCACCAGGATGTGAAGGCACACTCTTAACATACAAGAGTCCGTCTAAGAGAGCACTTCCTTCTCAGGCCTGAGGTGTTTCGTGTTGCAGGGGTTTTGCCTGCTCCTGGGGTGAACTGGTCGAGTTGCTGCTCCTTGAGAACTAACGGAACTATGATGTGGAGTTTGAAGACGGTGAAGTTTCTAAGGGTGCAGCAAGAGGATCACGGAAGCCTTCCACGCTGCACCAATAATTTGGCTTCCTTAATAAGGCGTCGGTCCTCCAGTGATAGAGTACCGAAACTGCAAGAAAAGTCACATCCTCCTCCTCCTCTCCCCCTCCATAAAGAAATCAGCATTTCCTGTGTTTATATCAGCTTCTCTGTAAATATTAAAGAGGAATTTGGCAGCCTTTAGAATTTAGATGGTGACTGAGGTTTCAGTAGGTAAAATCCAGGCTTCCAGGATTCACTGGAAAGTAAACTTGTTACTTTAGATTGGCAGTCAAGGTGGAACACTGGGAACTTGTTAGTAAATATTCTGTTGCTCCCAGAAAATCTTGAAGGTTTTTTGGTGCTTTACGATGTGTGCCAGTCCAAGGTGGCCCTGATCTCCTATAGCCTCTTCAGAGAGGATGTGCCTCAAGTGGTCTGAAGATGCAGTAGCCCAATTTAGCACACAGTCACTGATTGAGAAGCTGAACAGGAATAAATTTAGAGGGCAGAGATCCTGAAGGATGTGACAAATATTTACATGGTGCTGTAGGATGGAGGTGGGGGTGGCGGCGGTGGTGGGGGTGGTGGCTGTGGTGGTGGATACTGTGGTACCGGAGGCTGGCGGTACCAATGTGGATTCCAAGTGATCATAACAGGTACGTAGAGAGATCTTCCTTGTCCATCTCGTCCCACTGGGTACCAGGCGAATCCTACTGGGTAGGTCGGATACGTGGTGTACGTGGGGTATGTTGGATATCCAGGTACTTGAGGTACGAATTCAGTATACGTTGCCAGGTGAGCTTGGTCATCTAAATTCGGAATAGACAGACGAGGATACTGGTTCTGGATGGTAAAATTGTTTGGAGCTCGGCAATCATAAGACACTTGCAGTTTCCACCCCCTCTTCACTTGGAGAACCTGGGCTCCATTAGGTGCAATGGTTGGAGTAATCAGCCCATCTTTCACATTTCTTGCCACAAAATCTCGGAGAGCTGCCATCTCGGATTCAGACAGTGAGTACACATGTCCGCTGGGAATGCTGTGTGCTCCAGGTATCATTTCTATGTTGGGGTCAACCAGACGGTGATCCGGGTACACGTGCTCATCTACTGGAGTGTACACATTCTGGACGTAGTAATACCTCACTGGTTGGTAAACTCGGTATCCATCCACTGGGTAGTAAAGCGATGGCTGTGGTGCTGGTGGTGGGAGCGACGGTGGTATTGGAGAATACATCCGGCAGTGGTATCGGCAGTATTCTGAATCAAAGACGATAGATCGAGTGCTCCATGTGATGTTGGGGTCATGTGTGCTCAGCCAGCGAACCCCTAGGACTACAGGGAAGAATGGAGACTGAGTCACATCAAATGACAGCACCTCACGGTGATCTCCCAGGTCAACTATCAGGTCGTGGGTTTCGTGGACGACTGGGCCTGATGCAATGGGGCGCCCATCAATTGCTTCCACGAGTATTGGCCAGTCCTTGACTCTTAGAGGAATTCCATTTTGGGCAACATATTCGTGATCAATGAAGTTGCCAGAAGCACCAGAATCGATCATGGCTCGGACGAACAGAGTGTGTCTGCCCGGAAGATGAATCTGGAGCATCACTTGCAAGTGAGGAGATGAGGCATCATCTTGTGGGGACCTTATTATTTCTGGCCCGGTCGCTGAAGGTCCCTCTACAGCGGGGCCGGGGAGTTTCCCGCCGGCGATGCCTTTGAGGCCTTGGCAGGACAGCTGTCGGCGTAGTGACCTCCGGTTCCACAGTAGAGACAGAGGTTCAGCTTTCTGCGTCTTTCCTTTTCTTCCTGGGTCAGGCGCATGCGGGCACCTCCCACGGGCTCAGTGGGATCCACCTGGTGGTGGCTTGAGATGTGAGGCAGAACCAGGGCCCGGGGTGGGGAGCGTGGCTTGCGGGCTGCAGCTGCCCTGGCCAGCCTGCGCTCGATGTGAATGCACTGACCGATAAGTGCCGACAGTGACTTGGCCACCTCCAAGTGGGACAGCTCCTCCTGAATCTGGTCGCTGAGGCCCTCGTGGTACTGGTCAATCAGTGCAGGCTCATTCCAATCCAGGTCTTGGGCAATCATCTGGAATGCGTTGGAATAATCGATGACAGACCCCATGCCCTGGCGCAGACGTCTGATCTTACGTTTGGCAGCCTCTCGCCGCTGAGGGTCTTCGAAGACATGCTTCATTTCCATCATGAAGGCTGGGTAGTTATGCATCAGGTAATGCGAGCGCTCCAGCTTCGCTGAGGCCCAGCGGGCAGCACGGCCAGTCATCATGCTTGTCACAAAGCAGACACGGACACGATCAACTGAGAAATCTCTGGTGCTCTTTTCCATGAAGATCTGGCACTGGGACATGAATGGGGCCAGCATGTCTGGATTGCCATCGAACTTCTCAGGAAGGTCTTCAGGGCACTCTTCCTCGATTGGAGGAGGTGGGGCAGCAGCAGCTGCAGCACCACGGAGCTCGATGTCGTCATCCTCATCCTCCGGGGGTTCCACCTGCTCACGAAGAGAGGTGTTCTCCTCGGTGAGCTTCTGTACCTGGTTCTGCAGGTTGTTGTTCTCCTCTGACTGCTTCATGACCTTCTCTCTTAGGTTGTTGATCTCTTCAGACAGCTCGTCCCGCCTGCGTTCTGTCAGGTTGGGGACACAGGGGCTTTTATGGCCACTGGGCTTGTTGTTGTTGTTGGGGGGAGGGGGAGGAGGAGGAGGTGGGCAGTCGGGCCCCAGGGTGACTGTTGGGGTGGGAGGAGACCTCCCAGGTATAGCTTCACTCCTGTGGGGATGGAGGCCTAGATCCTGGCCCCCTCTTCCACCTCTTCTCCTTTTTGTTTTCAGAATCCGCTTGTTTCTGTAAATGAAGATAAAAGTATAAATTCAACATATACAGTCGAAGCAACATAATGCAGACAAAAAGATTTAGTAGTTAAAGTATCTCTTTGCTCTACTTGCATACATTAATAATTAGTGAATGAATAAAACAAACCCTTAAATGTGTAAGAAGTTAGCAATCAGGATGATAACCAAAAACCACACTACCTTTTGATGTTTAAATGACCTTTTGCTCCTCAAAAGTCACCCGTTCCTTATAAATCAACAAAATATAAACTTTATCAACACCACGCTTACCTTTAAAACTATACCAGAATGCTGAAACACTCCAAACAGGTAGTTTTGTATCAAGGGAGAGCAAGAAACTTTCAAGGCAATGATAGATACCAAATAAAGCCAAAATAACTTTCATTATTAAAGAAGTTAGACAGAAAAATAGGGAATATTCTAACTAATGGGCAACCACAAAAAGGGGAGGCAATATTAAAATAAGAGTGCCTGTATTTGGTAACCCTAGAGGGAAGCACTCTGGCTGTTAATGACCTTGGTCCCCTCTATGGATAGCTGGCTATTCAATCAAATGACCACTAACACCACAAAAACCATAGGGCTGTCTAATTTACTCTTCCATAATTTAATTTCCCAAAGAGAATTCTCTGTGGGACAGAATTGGCACTGAACAGCACCACGTGTCTGTTTCCCTCTTCATGATGCAATCATTTTACAAATGTTAATTGATGCCTCCTAGAGATGGCTGGGCTATAAAATGAGATATTTAAAGAAGCTCAGTAATGGTATACTGCAAACCAATTATGAGGATTTAATTAAATTATACCCATACATCACATAGTGCTTGTCCAGTTACTATTAGCTGATAGCAATAAAATTATTTGTTAGAAAACAAGGTTACTTTCTGGGTAAAGAGACTGGCATTAAAATAGGGAGGGGCTGTAACTATAGCAACGTAGGCATATATTTCCCACCAGAGAATTTTTTTTTTTCTTTTTCCATTTTCATACTATATTGGTCAAACAAATCAAGGGCCTTATTTGTCCTTCAGGTCATCAGTTTGGAATCCTTGGTTTTAAATCATATAATTTGTCACAGCGCCACCTGAAGGTTTGTAATATTAAGGTGGAACAGGGCTGAACTTCTTGGGGATGAGTGGACATAGGCATAGGGGTTGGGGGTGGGGGTTAGCCTTTCTAATCATGAGTGTAGTGACAATAAGTCACACACACACACACCATAAGTCAGGTTAGGGTGTATCTTTGTACTTCATGAAAATAGGGTTAACTGCATTTAGAGTGATTTTATTAAATTTTCAGTGACCTTGAATCTCAAATTCCGTATCTGCAAACATTAAATACATTAAAAATGTTAAAGTTTAAAATATAAAAGTTTAATAAGTTAACTTTTTAATTTAAACAACTTTAATTTCAAAAGTTTTTAAACTTTAAAAGTTTTTAAAACTTTAAAGTCTCAGCCATTAAATACATTAAAAATTTTAAAGTTTAAAATATAAAAGTTTAATAAGTTAACTTTTTAATTTAAACAACTTTAATTTCAAAAGTTTTTAAACTTTAAAAGTTTTTAAAACTTTAAAGTCTCAGCCAGGTCTGAGAGACTGGCTGCTATAAAGCTGCAGATTATCTGTATACCTCTCCCAGGATACCCCCTCCTAAAACTTTAAAGTTTTACAACTCAGAGTTTTTAAAACTTTTTCAATTAAGAAAGTCAACAAGTTCAAATGTTTAAAAGTTTTTACTCAACAAAGTTTAAAAGTTTAAAAAACTTTCTAATTCAACACATTTAAAAGTTTAAGAGAACTTTTTAACAAATTAAAAACTTCTAAACAAAGTTTAAACATGTAAAAATTTACAGGGCTTAAACTTTTTAGTTAGGAAGTTTAACACTCAAGTTTAAAAATATCTTATTCCCTTCTGACCCATTAAGGCAAAAATAGACACCAAATAAGTTACATAAATCTAAAAAGATACACATTTTCTACTTAGAGAAGTTAGTAGATAAAAGGGAGGTGGTAATCAAACATGATGCCTGTACTTATCAGCTTTGTCCCCGTCTATAGAGAAATGCCCTTTTCTCCCCCTTTCCTAATACCCCTTTTTAATTATTTATACACCCACTCCCACGCCCCACACCACCACCCAGAGCCACTTTCTCTATGTCCTACTCTGTTGGTGTGGCCTCTCCAAGGAGTGACTATACACAAAGCAGGGTCCTACAGGACAGGGATTAGTGTGCTATTTAAATAGTTTTGACCCTGATACTTAAATATTTTAGTAACTTAGGCTACAAAGACATTGAGTAATTGACATTTAATATAAAATACTCAAGTTCAGAAAAAATGAGAAAACACAATAGCACATCCCATAACCTGTGACATTCAGTCTCATTTCCAACTCCATAAAGACTATGATATTGGTGACATCAACAATATAAAGTCAGGACATAATGCAATTTTTACTTATTAGAAGTTTTAATAGCTCAGAGAAAAACAACTAATGAACATAAGTCAGGTATCTAGGCCACCACTTCTGCCATCTAAACATTATCACTGTCAGAGTAAAGAGATAAGACTTTCAAAAGGGCATTCACAACATGGCTTGGTGCCGTCTGACCCAGATCAGGAAAGCTAATGACCTACATGTCAATCACAGCCACAGTGGTGGGCTTTATTGAAGCCCTGGTATGATAGTCTTAACATCTTCAAAAAACAATGGTGGGAAAAAAAATTGTTAGCAAACCAGCAAACAATCACTATATTGTTTAGGGAAACAAAAGATCAATGAGGGTGAAAAACTCAAATGCCTTTGGTGTATAGAAGGTAATCTAAAAGTGACAATAAATTGGAGTGAAGACAATAGGGAGGGGGCTGCGACATGTAAGTTAGGGGTGCAGGACCCCTCCCAGACATTTTATTTGTTTTTTAAAACACTGCTTAACAACTCAAAGCCTTACTTGGCCTGCAAAGTCACCAGTTTCAGATGTCTGGCCATTACCTGTATGAGGCCTGAGGCCCCCAATTTTGATGTAGGACTCTTAAATTCTGAAAGAATAACTAGCAGGATCAGAGTAGTTCAACCATTGAAAGTAACAGGGCAGTGGGCTGCCAAGTGTACAGTGTAGAAAAAGTCTAACAATGTTTAAACAGCAACTGTACAAGTTAACATGGGAAAAAGAGCATTTTGATTTGATATGAATTATAGAATTATAGCTCTTTACATTCCCCCTTAGTAGAGGCTGGATTGGAAAGGTGAGGTCAAGAGGTCTTCCCAAAATCTCAAAAGACACACAGCATAAAGCCAAGCTGCCTGGGACAGATGCCATGTTTACGCATTATAAAGATTTTAGCTTTAGAGTAGTTAAGAATTAAATACATTTAATTATTGACGCTTCACAATGACTTCTAAAAATGTTTATTCCCCAAACACACTAAAGAGCAACAGCAGCCAAAAATCACCATACATAAACATCCCATTAGGAAATGACACTTCATTAAGCAACTCTTAGTTGTTTCACATTTTCAAATGTCTAATTTCTTTGAGTACTATTTGTGAAATGTAAATTCTATTAATATGTGTGTTTTTCCTATTGCTTTGAACCTCTTTAGTATGCAGACACAAAATTTCCAAAGAGGAGGGGGACTTATTTCAAGGTATAATTACGATAAGCCCACTTGTTTGGGGGTGGGGGAAAGAGGGTATCAGACTTTTGGAAGCCAAAACTGCCAAATTCCCCTTTAATAAGGTCTTAGCTCATGGTTTGTAATATATGGAAGCAATTTTTAAAATCTCTTTATTCAGGTAGAAACATAAGTTTATATGTACATTTGACTGGCAGTAAATTATAAATTTGTTTTATACAGATGTTTAATTATGCCAGCTGAAATACTCATTCTATATTTTGTAATGTTTACATTTCACAATTTGAATACCAAAATACATCAATGACTCACGTGTGCAAATAACTAGCTTTTTAATAGAAAAGCTAATTATTGGGAATAATTTTTTTGTATGATAATTACAGCATACATTATTGAAATGTAAAAACATAAGCTTAAAAACAAACACTATTAACCATGAAAGAGATGGCTGGCAAGGCAACTCAGGACAGCAAATCACCACAGGAAACAGCGCAAGAAATCAGAAGAGACCTGGAGACACCAAGTAAAACTTCAAATCAACTAATTAACTCTGGTCATTAATGAATGCCTACCATGTGCCTGATGTACTTTTATTAGATGTAGGCAAGTTAGGCAGGGCTAACCCCCTACAGTTCCAAGAAGAAACCAGCTCCAGAGGCACACAAATGTCCCTTCCTAGTTCAGAGGCCAACCCTGAAGCGCCAATACTCCACTTAAAACTCCTATGAAACACAACTCATTTTTAAATTTTGCATCCACCAAGCACCTGAGTCCAGCAGGTCCACTAGTGTTCCCTCCAAAAAAGTTAATGTGCAAATATTTTAAATTTTTTATTTTTCACTTGTCATAAAAACATTTGGCTACATTGCCTTTAGAGGCATCAGCTCTGCCAGCCAAGTTCTCTTCATAACTCACTTTCAGGAATTATGGGTTTATGTTACTTAAAATAAGCAAAGCCCTTATTAAAAGTGCTCATAATGTTCTGTTTAATTATTATTAATTGTTTTTATTTATTATTTTTATATTTATTAGATGCTAGCAGACAAAAAGCAAATCCAGCACAGCAGAGAAATCACAACCAGGCGGGGCTGTGCGGCCAGGCTCAGACACTGAAAGTGCGCACGCGCAAAGAAGATAAGACGGATGGGAGGGGTCAGTGAGGGATGGCACTGCCCAGAGCTGGCTCTGGGGAGGCGGAGTCACAGGCGACTCAGAGTGGGCAGGCTCAGGGAGTGGCCAGGCTTTGGAGGGGCGGGATCTGGGCAGGCCGCCTCAGAGGAGGCGGGCAGGAGGAGGCGGGGCCTGAGTAGGCCGTCTAAGAGGAGGTGGGGTTTCAGGGCGGGGCCTGAGTCAGCCAGGTTTGAGGAGTCAGCTCTGGGAAGGCGGGCTCGGGAGGCGCGCTCTGGGAAGGCGCGCTGCAGGGGAGGCGCGCTCCAAGTAGGCGCTGGGAGGGGCAGGAGGGAGGCGCTAAGCGCGCTCTGAGCAGATACTGCAGAGAAGGCGCGCTAGGATGGGCGGGGCAGGTCTGAGACTGGCTGCTACAGCGCTGCAGAGTATCTGCACGCCTCTCCCAGGATCCCCCTCCTAAACCCCTCCCGCCTGTTTCCAACAGCCAGATCACTTGGAATAGCAAGAGCAATCACCCCTAGATCCACCCCCACTCCCCCACGTACTCAGCAAACCGACAGTTTTCCACAAACTGTTGCTGGACACCAACGCGCGCCACCACAACTACTACACCGCCACTTCAATGGAGCACAACTAGGCAGGCAGCCCACTCTGCCATCACCCCAAAATTTCCTTTTGCACTCAAATCTGAGCCCCTCCACTCCACTGCTATACCAAGAACGGAGTGGGCAGAATGTCAAACACTAGTTTGGGCCTGGGGCTCCATTTTGTCTAACAGTACCATCATGCGAAAAACCGTCCTGCACAAACACACAGTGGGAGCCATTCCAAAAGGTGAAAGGGTGGGGTCCCCCTTAAAGTAGACAGGGTAATCGTACTCGGCAGCCCAGGTCCGTCTATAGCTGGTTTATCTGTAGCGTGAAACATTCTACAGTTCCACTTTGTAGCGCATTTTTAGTATATATTGTTATACAGCGCAAGTACCTCTGCAGTTCATGTGTCTTGTAGCGCAATGAAGCGCTGTTGTAAAGGTTAAGTTACCGGTTTTGTTATTCAGTGTTTTTGTGGCGCTAGCCTTCCGCAGCTCAGATTTTGTAGCGCATATAAAGCGCAAATCAGTCTTCAGATGCATTTATCGCTGCAGTTCATACTGGTTTGTAGCGCAATTGAAGCACCCATTTGTAGCGCAACGAAGTGCCAGGTTGTAGTACATGAAACGCCCATCAGGTTGTAGCGCCTGAAGCGCCCATCAGCTAGTAGCGCATGAAGCACCACTTGGTAGCGCATTTGAAGCACTCATCGTTTTGTAGCGCAATGAAGCGCCAATTAGTTTGTAGCGAATATCACTTTGCAGCGCATTTGGAGAGCAAACTGCAAATTGTCCTGTGGCTCATGTTCGTCTGCAGCTCATTACTGTCCGCAGCTCATGTCTGTCTACAGTCCATATCTGGACTTCGGTCCTGGAAACCAAAGCCGTGAAGGCTTCGTTTCGCCACTCAGGTTTGGGGCAAAGCGTGACAAGGTTTGGGTGGAGATACTCAGGGGCGCTACTCCATCTCCCGCAGTTCCCTATTAAGGAAGGGGGGGGACAAATGTGATCTTAAAAAAGAAATCCTCACCGCATACTCACCACGCGAGGACTCCTCTGCGAAGACGTGAAGGACGAGGTCCCACACCTGGGCCAGGCGTGGGCTCCACTGGGTGCTCGGCAGCCCGGAAGGCTCCGGACGCGAGCCCGCTCAGCGGCCCTTCGCAAGGCTCGTGGACCCTCTCCGCCGTTCTCAGGGCGCAGTCAGGTTTCTTCGACACACACCAACCGAAGTTGAAGCGCGTGTACCCCGAGCGCAGGCTGGAACCTTATATAGGCTCAACAGAGGAGGGGGGCGCCAAATCCCAGCGTGCTCCGCGGGCTGGGG